CACGTTACAATATATTTATATATATACAGACACACAATTCAATAACGAGTAGTAGTTACTTATGGAGATGAGCCCTTCTTGAGGAGCCGCAAATTCTGCACCTACTCAAGAATTCCCTAGCATTACTGTGTTCACAAGAGTCCTCCACTGGTCCCTATCCTGAGCCAGATCAATCCAATCCACACAATCCCATCCTATATCTCTAAGATCCATTTTAATATTGTTCACCGACCTACATCTTGGTCTTCCCAGCGATGTCTTTCCTTCTGGCTTTCCCACCAAAATCCTATATGCAATCCTCTTCTCCCCATTCGTGCTACATGCCCTGTCTACCTCATCCTCCTTGACTTGATCATTCTAATGATGTGTGGAGAAGAGTGCAATAACGACTAGTTCATTTTATGAAAATTGCCTGATGTTGATCCAGCTTGATCGAAACATATAGGAAATTAACATAATAAATGATTATTAATAAAGTAATATTTCTTTATTTATTACACATTTGTTATGATGACAGTCATTACAACAATAATATATAGTAACACACAACAGACTGCAAACAATATAGGTGGTACCAGATGTTTATAAATTTTGGTCTTCTGCTTTGCCAACAAATTAAATCAAAAGACTAAAGTGACTGGGGAACCTTGGTTCCAAAAATTAACGTTGAAAACGCTGTCGTTCAGCATGTAACTTCGTCAGGGCACATTATTACAATTACATTCTTCTAACAGCTTCCTTTTCCTGTACTCTCTCATATATGCAGCACTACTATTATCAGCGGACATCTTATCAGTGCGTGACGTCATATTCTGGCAGCTTGCATATAGAATTGTGACATGACTCCTGAAAGCTGCAATCTGACCATCTGTGAGCGGGTCTTCGCTGAGGCGGACGTCGACAAATTTAAGCGCCACTGCCTTGCTTTGCTTCACTCTGCACAGTCCTGCCTTTGCCAGAAACATTTTTAACAAGCCAACATAAACCATTGCTCCAAACCGTACTCTTTATTTCCCTCCATGCTTTAAGATGCGTGTTCCAGCTTTTAGCAAGATAAAAGGTCTTCAAAAACTTGTACTCTTCTCCAAGTGTAATTAGAATGATGAAGTCAAAGAGGATGAGGTGGGCAGGTCATGTAGCACGAATGGGGGAGACGAGGAATGCGTATAAGATATTGGTGGGAAAGCCAGAAGGAGAGAGACCACAGGGAACACCAAGGCGTAGGTGGGTGAACAATATTAGGATGGATCTTAGAGAGATAGGATGGGATGGTATGGATTGGATAGATCTGGCTCAGGATAGGGGCCAGTGGAGGGCTCTTGTGAACACGGTAATAAACCTTCGGGTTTCATAAAATGGTGGGAAATTCTTGAGTAGCTGCAGAATTGGCGGCGTTTGGGATAAATGTGTTGGCTCCACCTCCAGGGCTTTTCACTGCCCGCTTTCATGTAGGCTAGTCGTTTGGCTTAATTTGACCCAGAAGACGGAGGCGGTACTTTCCTCGAAATCAAATTTCTACGAGACTACACAGCGTTATATTCCAAAATAAATTACTTCTCTTCGAACCTCAAATCCATCTTATATTATCGTACTGGAATGTCATGAAGAGAAACTCTGCTTTCCTGACCTGTGCCCTCAGAACCGTTAGGTAGGTTAGTTTGAGGATGGCGCTCCCGTATTTGCGCAGTACAGTATACGCCTATACCCATCCATCACTCATGTTGATAGTACTCGTAGTATTATGTACTCTCCTAACTGACAGTTATTATCATCAGGACTGCCTGCCATATTAAGTTTCTTCCAAGATCGCCTTTTCGAGTCTATCCATTACGTTCTGACAGTTTCATAAGCTGGACGCAATCCATTATTTCAAGGTAAGTTTAAAAAATGCGAAATGACAGTCTTCAGAAGGTGTGTCAACTATACGCATGAAACCACGTTGGGCCTATACGACGGGTTCTTATGAGATTCAGTATTAGTTGTCGTGAGCAACATTCATAGTTTGTACCCTTTCCCAGATATTGTAGAAGTCGGGATATTTTAGTCGGTATAGGGACTACGCTACGAGGTGAAAGTCAGGGGTTAGATTTCTGTCAGGGACAGCAGAACATTCTTCTCGTTGTGTCTAGACGGACTCTGGGGCCCATACATCCTCCTATCCAATGTACACCGGGTGCTCTATCCTCAGGGGTAAAGCGGCAAGGGTGTGAAACTAACCACCAGCTAGTGCTTATACCTCCACTCCCCCATATGCCTCCATGTCATAGTGCCTCCTTATGTAATTACTACAAGAATAAGAAAAAGGTAAAGCTATCTCTGTAAGAGGTCGTGGAGGCGCATGCGGTTGTGAGACTATACATTTCACCCACTTTTCAGATATAAATCGAGTCAAGAAGTATAAGACTGGAGGAGCATGAAGCACGCACGCATGGTAGCGTTGTACATTTAAATGCATACAGAATTTTAGTGCGGTAACCTGATAGAAGCCGGTCACAGTACCCGCGCGATCTAAGGCATGAACTGTCTTCTCTCGCTCGAACGCTGGGATCGTGGGTTCGAATCCCACTCAATGCATTGATGTCTGTGTGTACGTTTATTCTGTGTTTGTGTTCTATGTATAGGTAGCGGCCTTGAGACGGGCTGATCACTCGTCCAAGGAGTCCTGTCATCTGAGTAAGAAAATTACTAAACTGAAGAAGAGGTCAGAGCCCAACAAAAGGCTGTAGAGCCATTGATGAATGAATGAATGAATGAACGAACGAACCTGAAAGGAAGAGACCACATAGGAGACCTACACGTAGATGGGAGAATGATATTTGAATGGACACAATGTGAGAGTATGGATTAAATTTACGTGCCTGGCACAAGAGAGACCAGTGACTGGTTCCTGAAAATAGGAGAATTAACTAACAGTATGTAAGATTTGAGGTTTTCACGGTGGTGACTATGAAGAATGCCGTCTTCTGGGATGTGGCGCCATGTAGATATTCTGTAAACCGACGTTTCGGAGGAACATCGGTTTACACAATATCTACACTGCGCCACATCCTAAAAAACAGCATTCTTAGCGCATAGTACTCTCTTCTGAGATATCATGCGTGTAGTCTATTACCAATTTGCCGATGATGTAGGCAGTGTGTTCCCTCGACACTTCTGTAAACTTCCACCAGACTACACGGAGTCACATCTCAGAAGAACGTACTCTTCATAGTCAATGCTGTGAGAATCTCATATCCAAATGAATAATTTACCTTCGAGTTCCATAAAAGACGGAGAATTTCTGCCCGAGCAGTTGTTAGCATGTCAGAAAATACTCAGCTCAATAGAGTCAGCATTGATCATAAGATCGTGTAGAATACAGAACCGTTAAGAACAATGCAGGTCTTCTGCTTGCAGATACACCATAGTGAGTGAGTAACAGGGATTTATGTGCATGGCTAGCCCTTCTCAGCTAGCATAAGGGGGATACCAAACTGACTTCGAACGAAATTTCGGCTCTGTTAAGTATTAAATCCATACGCTTTTGTCTTTTATAAATTAAGCCACTTAAAAGTTGGCTTGATTAACCTTGATAAAAAAGCAACAAAAACTTATGTAAACCATATTGATGGGGCGTATCAGTTTAAGTTGCGATGTAGAATTTCTATCCGTACGCAGATGTCAGTGACGACAGCCTGACTAAAGCTGGCGGTATAAAGCAAGCCACTCCCTTCCTCATGCCACAGTGTCTTCTTGGCAGCTCCATAGCAACACAGCGGCAAAGCCAGGTAATATGCTCAAATACTGTATCCAAGCCTACACCTTCCTCTACTCTGTGTATCACGGTAGCCGAGCGGTCTAATGCATAAGCTGTCTTCGCTTGCTCGGAAGCCGCGTTCGTGGGTTCGAATCCCACTCAGGGCATGGATGTTTGGTGTTTGTGCGTGTGCGTTTTTCTGTGTTTGTGTACAGGTAGAGGTCTTGCGACGTCTAGTATACCTAAGCGAAACGGAGAGTTTTATGGAGGTAGGCAAAGGCCCAAATTGGGGCTGTAGCGCCAAAAGAAAAAGAATCTAAGTTAATGTAAGGATCAAATGGAATATAAAAAGTCAGAAATAATAAGCTATACGCAGAGTTTCTTTACTGTGTAAATTTTCAGTTAAATTCTGATGATAGTGATTCATGTTTACGTTTATTTTTAGTCATTTTCCCCACGTAAGATCTACTCGCAGATACTGTAGGCTCTCCTAAATCAGGGAGCCACGAGGAATCTTGGGCATGTTTGTTCTTCATGAGGCGCTACTCCGTGACAGCACCGCCAGTCCGGTATTATACATGTCAATGGAACAGGACGAGATGTGATAATAAAGACAAGCTCCACCTTATTTTAATATTAAGATCTTTTTACAATAATGTCAACACAAACAAATATCATAAAACCTTTACTTACTTACTTACTTACTTACTTACT